TAGCTATATGATAACTAGAATGGCTTTAATCGCACCTTACTTAAATGTAGAAAATACTGTCAACGGCTATATCATCAACAACTTTTCCCCATTACAATCACTCATCTACATCTATGATAGGAAAAACATTAATATATTTATATTATACAACCATTCGTAGAGAAGAATGTTGATATTCAAATTATTTTAACTTGGATTGACTCGATTATTAGTTTCTTTTAATAATGGATGTGTTAAATGTATTGCCAGTTGAAAGAGCGATAACTTATGTCAGTGATGATTTATCTGGTGATGATGACTTTATTTCTGTTGTTTTTCATATCTGCCTGGTTATGACTGGATATAACAACAGGACGTTACTAACAACTCTTTATCAATACCAATGTTTGTGTTAAATGCCTGATGTCAGTGTTAGAATAAGTTCATAATGTTTTGTTTTGCAAACAAACACTCTTTTCTGACATGTTGAAAGTACTTAAATCGGTTATATCATTCGCAACCTGTCCCAATTATAACCACCTATCTGGATTAGTGATTGGAATATATCAAATTAGATTACATTATATCAATTTCATGGCAAAATGCGGCGATTTCCAAACTGACATCTGTCAGGGAGTAGACATTTTTGTTCGCTTTATAGACAATTTTATCATTAAAAACATTAAGCAAGATTCGAAGAAGAGAATTTTTCGTTTTTTTCACAGTTTCATTACATTGAATATTAAAATTTTCCATAAAATAAAAACTAAAACAATTATTAAGTTTGAATAATTTTACTAGTAATCCCGACTTACTTGATGTAATACAAAATGTACACAGTATCGTTAACATTTACAGAACATCCAATTATTTAAATGACAATATTTTTCTATCTGCCCTATACTAATAATATCGTTAATTTGCAGGAATTATGCAATGTTCCTTGATTAAACCTGATTACTTTGAAACCAAGATCTTACATTTAATCCAAACCCTGTCGATTAGTTTAATTTTACAATGGATGTGTTAAAAGTATCATTAGTTGCAAGAGTGATAAATAATTTCTTTGGTTATTTATCTGGTGATGAGAACTTTTTTTCTGTTGTTTTTCACATATGCCTGGTTATGACAATAGGCCGTAGGTAACAATTTGTTTGCATTGTGAATTTTTGTGGTAACCTCCTGATCTCAAATAAGTTCATACAATTTCGCTTTGTAACCATACATACTTTAATTACATGTTGCAACTGCTGGAATCGGTTGCATCATTCACAACACATCTTTGGTATTAAAACCCTTGTAGAATAGAGATTTCAAAAACATATCACATTAAACGTTATATAACGTTTCATGGTGAAGTGCTTTGGTATTCTTACTACAAAAATTGGGGAACAAGTTGAATGAGTATATTATCTTTCTACCTAACCCCACAAAATCACATTGTTATTCTCACATTTTTTATGCATCCTGTCTTATTAATGAAGCCTGATTATATTGATACAGAGTATGTCCTGTTAAGTGTTAACTATGCTAATTCAACTTACATTGACTCAAGAATTAGTTTGATTCAACAATGGATGTGTTATTCTGTTTGTCGATCGTAACGGCGATAAATACGTTCTAGGTGATAAACAGGTGATGCTAATTTTATGCTTCTCTTTTTCACATCGGCCTGGTTATGACTGGATATAACAACAGCACGTAAGTAATCACTTTTTTTCAGTACAAATGTATGTGTTAACAGACAGGCATCTTTGTTTAAATACCTATATGAAATTTAGAATCGCTTAAATCGCACCTTACTTAAATGTTGAAAATACTGACAACGGCTATATCATCAACAATTTTTCCCCCATTACAAGCACTCATCTACATCTATGATAGGAAAAACATAAATATATTTATATTATACAACCATTCGTAGAGAAGAATGTTGATATTCAAAATATTTTAACTTGGATTGACTCGATTATTAGTTTCTTTTAATAATGGATGTGTTAAATGTATTGCCGGTTGAAAGAGCGATAACTAATGTCAGTGATGATTTATCTGGTGATGATGACTTTATTTCTGTTGTTTTTCATATCTGCCTGGTTATGACTCGATAAAATAACAGGACGTTACTAACAACTCTTTATCAATACCAATGTTTGTGTTAAATGCCTGATGTAATTGTTCAAATAAGTTCATAATGTTTTGTTTTGCAAACAAACACTCTTTTCTCACATGTTGAAAGTACTTAAATCGGTTATATCATTCGCAACCTGTCCCAATTATAACCACCTATCTGGATTAGTGATTGGAATATAGCAAATTAGATTACATTATATCAATTTCATGGCAAAATGCGGCGATTTCCAAATTGATATATGTCAGGGAGTATACATTTTTGTTCGCTTTTTAGACAATTTTAACAATTGTATCATTAAAAACATTAAGCAAGATTCGAAGAAGAGAATTTTTTTGTTTTTTTCACAGTTTCATTACATTGAATATTAAAATTTTCCATAAAATAAAAACTAAAACAATTATTAAGTTTGAATAATTTTACTAGTAATCCCGACTTACTTGATGTAATACAAAATGTACACAGTATCGTTAACATTTACAGAACATCCAATTATTTAAATGACAATATTTTTCTATCTGCCCTATACTAATAATATCGTTAATTTGCAGGAATTATGCAATGTTCCTTGATTAAACCTGATTACTTTGAAACCAAGATCTTACATTTAATCCAAACCCTGTCGATTAGTTTAATTTTACAATGGTTGTGTAAAAGTATCATTAGTTGCAAGAGTGATAAATAATTTGTTTGGTTATTTATCTGGTGATGCTAACTTTTTTTCTGTTGTTTTTCACATATGCCTGGTTATGACAATAGGCCGTAGGTAACAATTTGTTTGCATTGTGAATTTTTGTGGTAACCTCCTGATCTCAAATAAGTTCATACAATTTCGCTTTGTAACCATACATACTTTAATTACATGTTGCAACTGCTGGAATCGGTTGCATCATTCACAACACATCTTTGGTATTAAAACCCTTGTAGAATAGAGATTTCAAAAACATATCACATTAAACGTTATATAACGTTTCATGGTGAAGTGCTTTGGTATTCTTACTACAAAAATTGGGGAACAAGTTGAATGAGTATATTATCTTTCTACCTAACCCCACAAAATCACATTGTTATTCTCACATTTTTTATGCATCCTGTCTTATTAATGAAGCCTGATTATATTGATACAGAGTATGTCCTGTTAAGTGTTAACTATGCTAATTCAACTTACATTGACTCAAGAATTAGTTTGATTCAACAATGGATGTGTTATTCTGTTTGTCGATCGTAACGGCGATAAATACGTTCTAGGTGATAAACAGGTGATGCTAATTTTATGCTTCTCTTTTTCACATCGGCCTGGTTATGACTGGATATAACAACAGCACGTAAGTAATCACTTTTTTTCAGTACAAATGTATGTGTTAACAGACAGGCATCTTTGTTTAAATACCTATATGAAATTTAGAATCGCTTAAATCGCACCTTACTTAAATGTTGAAAATACTGACAACGGCTATATCATCAACAATTTTTCCCCCATTACAAGCACTCATCTACATCTATGATAGGAAAAACATAAATATATTCATATTATACAACCATTCGTAGAGAAGAATGTTGATATTCAAAATATTTTAACTTGAATTGACTCGATTATTAGTTTCTTTTAATAATGGATGTGTTAAATGTATTGCCGGTTGAAAGAGCGATAACTAATGTCAGTGATGATTTATCTGGTGATGATGACTTTATTTCTGTTGGTTTTCATATCTGCCTGGTTATGACTGGATATAACAACAGGAGGTAAGTAACAGCTCTTTAGCAATACGAATGTTTCTGTTAAATGCCTGATGTCATTGTTCAAATGAGTTCATAATGTTTTGTTTTGCAAACAAACACTCTTTTCTCACATGTTGAAAGTACTTAAATCGGTTATATCATTCGCAACCTGTCCAAATTATAACCACCTATCTGGATTAGTGATTGGAATATATCAAATAAGATAAAATTACATCAATTTCATGGCAAAATGCGGCGATTTCCAAACTAACATCTGTCAGGGAGTAGACATTTTTGTTCGCTTTTTAGACAATTTTATCATTAAAAACATTAAGCAAGATTCGAAGAAGAGATTTTTTCGTTTCTTTCACAGTTTCATTACATTGAATATTAAGATTTTCCATAGATTAAAAACTAAAACAATTATTAAGTTTGAACAATTTCCTAATAATCCTGACTGACGGTATGTACTACAAAATGTACACAGTATCGTTAACATTTACAGAACATCCAAACATTTGAAGTGACAATATTTTTCTATCTGCCCTATATTAATAATATCGTTAAATTGTAGGAATTATGCAACAATGTTTCTTGATTAAACCGAATTATCTCAAAACCAAGACCTTACATTTAATCCAAACCCTGTCGATTAGTTTAATTTTACAATGGATGTGTTAAAAGTATCAATAGTTGCAAGAGTGATAAATAATTTCTTTGGTTATTTATCTGGTGATGATAATCTTTTTTCTGTTGTTTTTCACATATGCCTTGTTATGACAATAGGCCGTAGGTAACAATTTGTTTGCATTGTTAATTTTTATACAACTATTCGTAGAGGAGAACGTTGAAATTCAAAATATTTCAACTTGGATTTACTCGATTATTAGGTTCTTTTAAAAATGGATGTGTGCAAGTTTCCTTACATATCAGCTTTTATCGTTTTTGGAATGACGTATTCAGATTGTGTGTGACATAAATAAGTCTTAAAATGTGACGGTAAACATAGGGTCGCAAATCCCATTTGGCACAGGAAGATATCCTCCCTTTGGAGCCTTTGTGAGGGTTAGATTTCTTTATATTTTGACATGGAATATTTTGTTTGCCTTTTTTGATTTATTTTTGTTGCTGTTAACTGGAGTGTGTGTAAATATTTTAACATTTATCTTTACAGAATGGATTGAGTATAAAACGTACGTAGCGCTGTTTAAGGGAACCACAGAGAAATACCGACACATACGTGTAGTCTTCACCGGCAGAGACGGGGCGGGAAAGACAACAATATGTCGACGGATTAAAAACGAATATGTCGACCTCGACTTACGCCAGCCAACTGTGGGAGCAGTTCTTTACCCTGCGTCGTTCTTTATTGACTGGGAATTTAAAACATGGGGAGATATTGCTGATCAATCGCTTACGGACGTGATTACAACACGTATGGGTGTATTGTTCAAAACGAACATGGAGACATCAGAAATAGAGGCCGGTTTCCAAACAGGTATAATTTACTGATGATTTACATAAAGTAATTGGATATAGCAGTATGTAAGCAATAAGGCATACATTTGGCACACTGTAGTTTCTGATATCACCTTGGAAATGTTTCGATATATCTTCCAAACATATAACTTAACCGACTCAAACAAATTAAGAATAAACATTCCTTAGACTTGTCCTCATTTATCAGTATATGTTACCACAGCGTCCCAAGACGAATTAGGCGGAGATTTATTGCTAGAAGACCCTGTGGCAGTCCATCGAGCAGCAACCGAATCCATTAAAGTCGGACGTGCTTCACGCAGGGCCAAGTCTGATGGAGCGTTTCTTTCTCTCTGGGATATGGGTGGACACACTTCATTTCAGGCTTCACACAATGTGTTTATTTCTTCGCATGGTGTGTACCTACTAGTCTTCAGACTGACAGATTTTCTTAAAGACAAGTTGGAAACTGGTAAGTAGATGAACGATCCTTATTATATATTTACAGTGTAAATGAAAAGAACAAAACAAACTTTCACCATTTATCTGTTAATAACAAATACATGTCAACAGACTTTTTTCTGTTTAAAATACATAATCTATTGGTATGTAATCAACATGGAGAATTAAGCCAGACTTGATATATCGCTTATCGTAGACTGTCAATAGAAAGAGTTTTGTTGTTATTAGAACACAGCACACTATTTAACTTAAGTGGATAAAAAGTGAAAAACAATGAAACTCTTGATAAGATTTGATTGTATTTATGAGAAGAGGAGAGGTGTGAATCGGATGAGGGAACAGCAAAAGGTAGAACGGTGTTTTGAGATTGTTCGGGTGGGAACTAAAAGTGTAGTTTTTGAATATTGAATATGTAATGGTACATTGTTACCATGATCTAACTACAACTTGCAAATTGAAGGACTTGTTTATTTATTTTGTTAATAGCGTGTGCAACTTGATGATGGGATTAATATGTAAAAGTTAACAAACATGATTTGACGGTTTTATGTTTAGCTTTGAGTGTTGCGATGTTACCTTAAACTGTATAGTAGATGTCATAATATACAAGTCTCAATCATTTAATTGCTATGTTTTCAGACAAAATGATAAGACAGAAACCAAACTACAGTGCTTTATCACATTGCATTTGCTCTTATAAAAAATAGCTTTACAAATTAAACGTGAAAAGGAACGCTGAGTCAATGGGTGAAGCTGACGACCAGCTAGTTTCAGATTACAATAGATTTGAATTGCATCCCTGAACACTCTGAATGAAGTTACTGTAGATCCCTGAAAAGATTATGCAGCTATGCTTATTTTATTCCCATTTACATGATTTTGAAACTAGCGGCAAGGCTTTTAACTTTAATAAAGAATTCAGTTATAAATGAACATTAATATACCAGTGTCTCATTTTGTTCTACATGGCAGCAAGAGATAATTTGCAGAAATGGCATGTTGCCGTAAATGACGCCATGGGTTTATATAGTTAGTTTTGTTTGCATACATAATAAAAAAAGGGGAAAAATAACACTCGAGACAGAAAAGTTTTTAATTATACATGTATATTTATAACAGTTCACTTATTTATTTTCATTTAATTTGATTTGTTTTTTATTTTTATTTATATAATCCATTTTTGATAGGAATAAAACCTTAAGTCGCTGAAGCTGATTTCTTAGACATCTAGACCATTCACCTCCAGTCCCGGTACTATTTCAATCAAGTCTTTATTTTAACATAGAATGATTCATATAACAAAAAGGAAAAAGGAGGACCCGTGTCTGACTACTATGAAGCCCTATCGTTTAATGTAACCCTTTTTCCTTTTGCAATGTCCTCATATAGTTTTAAACTCTTTGCCTATGGTGTTTAATGATATAGCTTTGAATATATTTATACATATCCATATTTCCAAGAGACATTTTGATATAGTTTATTAACTCAACATGCACTCTTTCTGAGTCTAGATAGACTGAAGAAATGGATCCGGTTGATTGGCACGTTTTCGTCAGGTGAACTTAACGCGCCAAGATTGAAGGCACATGAACCTCCACTTATTTTCGTCGGCACCTTCCTGGACGAACTTAAAAAAACATCCTCGGTAAATGTTATAAATATTCAAACATATAACTATAGTGATAAGCAAGATTTAGCATAAATTCGCTATATTAAAAACAGTTATTGTTGCTAAGATGAAAAGTAATACTTGTCATTTTTGTGCACATTGCATCTACATTGAAAAAAAACACCACTATGCTTTTGTTTTTATATTTTCACATACAAAAACAATTTGGAATGAGAACTTGATAATTACTATTCCAGGACTGCGACAAACTTGTACAGGCAATGCAGTCAAGCATTGCGAAATTCCCCGAACTTGCAGCTCACAAATTCGTAAGGTTCTGCACAGCGGACAACAGCATTGGAAATGATGACACGGAATTGGAAGTGTTGCGAGGTTTTATTACAGAAGCAGCCGTGCACCAAGATCAGTGGGACAGAAAACTTCCGGCCAGATGGTTGAAACTCGAGATGGACTTACTTAAAGCCAGAGAAGAAGGAACCTGGATACTCACTTTGGCGGAGGTGATTGAAATGAACAAAAAGTCTATAGCCCCTTTAACGGACGAGAACGAGATGAAACTGGCACTGGAGTAAGTATGTCTATACAAGAGTTACGTGGACATAAATAGTAACAATTTACGTTTACAATACCCTTTTCTATCATTGGAAGGCACACCCAATTAGAGTCCTAAGATCATATGTTTATCTGACACGTTTGTTTAAAAGCTAATCGAGTAATTCCATTTGACTTGAAACATTATTTTCAAAATAATACGAAACGAAAGTAGAGGATAAATGGTGAAATTAATTATTTGTATCCTTGTTTAGGGGGTGTTTTGAAGAGTAATCACAACAGTCACCTGCCAGTACATTCAACGTTTTAACTTTGACGTCTACATGTTGATAACGTCTACAATCGACAAAGGAAATATAATATCATGTTTCTTTATCATTTAGATAGTGCTACGGTATAGCACCTATTGGGATTATGTAGTATGTTGATGGAAGCCAATGAAAGTAAGAATTTACTTCTCCATAACACTAAAGCAAAACAGAACGAAACCCCAAACCGAGACGCTTTGACGTTAAGTTGCGATGTTAAAACTTAAACGTTAGATTCAGCTATAGTTTGTTTAGATCTTACTCTCAATCTTCTGCCCATGCCCCTGTGCTTCATCGATTGCATTTTTCTCCCTCTCACTATTGTGTTGTGCAATATCAAATAATACGCTACATATGTTTACGTGTCATACCAGTTCGGACTCAACTTAATGCTTATACACAAAAAACTCACTTAAATTACGTTATGATGAAAAACCTTGAATCATTTTTATTAAATATAAATTTACGACAGGATACATCAGAAGAGACGATCCATGCATTAGACAGCATGTTCATTTATGTTGTATTATTTTTTGCTGTTGTACGAATATATCGGTGGTTTACCATGGGAAAAAATCTTTGTTTTGCCAATTCTGCTCAGCGTTTCCGTCACTTATTCAAACAGCAACATTTAAACTGATATATATATATATGCCCTCTAAATCAGCTCTCAGAAAACATCCCCCAAATAAATACCAAACTGTTAGGGTAGTTTTTTACTATTAACTTATCATTCAGTACAATGTATGGTTCTATAGCATTACATTTCAATATGGATGGACCCTATTGACACATCACAAACAATCTATGATTTTAATACTACTACAAATAACTTGCATCCATATACTATTTAAGTTTCACATATAACCGATGCATTTTACAAAGTCATACGGCCATGTGATAAATACGGTCATATACACGAGTAATAAAAACCTAAAGAGGCAACATTTTAATGATTTTGCTATTAAATTAATTTGAAATGTTTATTTTGATATCATTATTTTAATTGCATTTAAAACTATTCATCAATAAAAAATTCTGGAACTTCTTTTCACTGCGCGGAACGACAATACTATGATCAGAGTACTTTGATCTTGACCTATATGGAGTCAGCTGATGACACGTAATTGTGGTTAATGTTTTCTTTGAATTATAAATGATATGTGATAAGTAGAATCTTACATGAGTGTTCATGTCATATTGAATTCATTAAACTCGTTCAAAAATCTGATATGACACTCGCTTTCAGGCTCGTGTCTTATTAAATTCATTAAACTCGTTCAATAAATTTAAAATGTACGTCAAAAACTTGATGGTAGATGTTTTAAGCTGTATCAGATGTCATTTCAAATTTAATGTAGATTTCAGGTAGATGGTATCAACCCATAGACAAGCATTTTATGAATATTATTTTTTAAACTCTTCTGCATATGTTACTAAACACACATTATATGATACCTATATTAATTTTGTGTAGGTTCCTGCACTGCACAAGATCTGTGATTTATTTTCGGGAGTTTGACCACATCATCACCAACCCCCAGTGGCTTGCTGATTTTTTCAGCATCCTGATTACCGACGACGAGTTCCTCCCAAAAGGCGACCTTCTCCTGACCCGAGACCTGGAGTTGTACATGACAAAGGGTGAACTTACTGACAAGTTGACCAATGGTCTTCTAAGTCTGGAAAAGAACCAAGCTTTCCTTCCTTACAAGTCCGTTCTCCTGGCGCTGATGGAAAAGTTCGGACTAATAGTAAAGATACTAATGTCGGGAACCACTACAGAAAATGCACAGTTCAGTGAGACGTACACCATTCCAAGCAAACTTATGGAGCTACAAAGCATTGATGATATAGCCAAAGAAATCAGTATCTTCAAACAGAGAAACCTCGCTGTCTCCAAAACCTTATGCTTCGTGTTTAAAGATGTTTACGTTCCAGATGAACTTTTCCATAGAATCTTTGCCCAGATCATGAGAAGGTACAGAGCAGTGTCACTGTCAACATACACTTTCTATGAGCGTGACCAGGCGACAGTAGGCAACACCACTTGTTTATATTTCGGTTTTGGATGTTTCGAGGTCGACGACCTTTGCAGAATGATCGTGTCCATGAACGCAGAGCGGTCAGCAATTGCTGTGACTGTGATCAGTCCAACAGAATCCCAACTTCCCGCAGACTCTGGACAACGTGTGAGGCTCTCAATCGAACAAATTATTCTTGAGACGTTGCAAATGAGTAACCAGCAACACTTTCAGTACGCACATCAGCTGCACTGCAACTTCCACCTGAGTCCATACGACACCCCAGTACAACTATACGGCGTCATCCACTCAGAGAGGGGCGTGCCTTGTAAAGGCAGCGAATGCGAAGGACAACACAGACTGTCCAGAACAGACACAAAGTTTTGGAACATCACAGAGGTAATAAACATTGTGTATATTATTCTGAATGTGTCATTTATTCTCTTAGATAACAACCAACATGTATATTGGGTTCGTGGATTGTATCTTTAATAATGATATACTGACACTGTTTTTGTTTTCGTTTAAAACCAAACAGGTGTGTTTTTGTTTTGTTTTTGTTTGTTCTAGATCTTGGTCTTAAAGCTGCACCGTGTTTATAACATTTTAAGTCCAATACCAGTCATTTTTTTCCAATATGATAAAGAAGTTGTTATAAGAAATGTGTCGTATTTATTATTATATTACTTTAATATTTCAAATATATTTGTTCTTAGTAACGCTAAGCAATTTGTTGTAGGATTCTGCAAGGTGTCAAGGCAATGGGGATCTCGCAGGTGAGAGTTCATGCTAAATGCGTTGTCTTATTGACTCAAAGGTGGTAAGTTAACGACTTCAATATATATGTGCAATGTTAGACTCTATTTATGATAAAGATCAGCAAACCCCCATCCGTTGAAACTTCGTACATGTTAACGAAATTATGGTTTATATCAAGAAAAAACCTCGAAAGTATTCTTTAATTTGAATAAGCCTCCGGGCTATTAAATGATTTAAATATAATTATAACTCTCTGACGTCACTAATAAGCGTTTCGATTCCTGCAAAAATTGATCAACGCTTAATATTTTGCAATGTCCTATGTCTCAAATAAAAACATCGTTCCATGCATCAATATTTTCTAGCGATCTCTTGATTTGCATGAATACAAGCATTTTTTTTTTAATTTGAGTTAACCCAACCTATTGGCACAGATTGCATAGTACTCGCACACAAACCTGACTTATTTTGGGCGTTTAAAATACATCTGCTGATGCTATTTGAAATCGTCAATGTAAAAAGAAAACATTTAAAAATGCATGGCTAAATATTTCTATAAATAGTGAACTATGGACATGTTTAAAGATTTAAAGGTATCATGTGAAGAGTGATCCGTTTTGGGTAAACCCATGCATCACAGCAATCACCTTGTGGGGCATTTTATTGGCATGCAATTTGGGTCTCATCTTCTAAGCAAACATTTGTATAACATCTTGATAATTTTGACGAAGGTTTCAATACGTGTGAGCAGAGTAAAAGCAACCTTAGTCGGGCGTATCTTACCAGGTGATCATACTTACGATCTTTATACGTGTGTGTGCGGAGGGACGTAGGTGGACATTATTTAATGTTTTCACTGTTATGGGCACATACTCATAATACTGCATATATCGGTACATACCACTTCAATACTTCTGCACGGAAACCGTGATAACCAACTCATATTATGTTTTAAACAACACTAGACAGAATACGTTGCGAAACTCGAGTAAAGATAAAGACAAAAGTATATTCAGCTATTTGCAGGAACTCAACCTACAGAATAGCGGTAAATATAAAAATAAATTAGTGCTTTGATGTAAACGTGAGGCACGATGTGTGGAAAAGTATTTTTTACCTGCTTTCTTTTTATAAGCCTGTCATCTATGATCTAAAATCTAGTAACTGTTGGCAAAGGTTTTGGACGAAAATACATTTTCCTTTCCATGACGGCATTCTACATGTTTCCTAGTTGATAATCCATAATATGAAAATCAGATACGTGACATTTTCAGTAATATTGATACATTATTTAACTCTATATACAATGTATGATACAAACAAATATTGCCTAATTTAACTGAAAGTATAACACAACAAAAATAGTAATGGGTTTATTTTATGTTTGTTATACCTGCTGATATATTCAAATGAATCTAATGAATAATAACTCTCACTATAGATAATTTAGGAACAACGGGGGTTGGACCAAATACCTCTGACAGAAGGCCTTCTCCTCGTGAACTTAGTCGTCTGTCCCGTCTAATCAACCCCCACCGCATTGAGCAATTCTTTGTGGAACTTGGGCTTCCTGATCTAGAAATTGAGGACACAAAACGTGAGTCCCAAAACATGCCTGTGATCACCCTCATTACCAAGCTGTTTCTTAAATGGACAATTGCCTATCCGAATAAGACGATCCATGACATCCAACAAGCTTTGGAGGCGGTTGATATGGCCACTGACCGTATCAACAACGTACTAGGAACAGACGTGGAATCCCAGGTCAAAGGTTAGGAACTATTATACAAATATATCGAACACTTGAAACATGATGTTACAGTAGATAAAATGTTATTTTCAAGTTTACCTTGGCCATTTAAATGTAAAATGGAAAGGCTGATATACCTAACAATAAGAACATAATCTCAATAGACTGACTTTTGTTTTTGTCCGGATATTTGATGATAGCTCCAGTTGAGTAAGTGCAAGTTAACTAGATAACTAGTTTTTCTGTCTTTTTTTAATTTCCATGTGCTCCACTAGAGACATCAACTGATAAACTGACTTTTATTCAGTTAAGATGTAAGCTGAGCAGCGAAATGTTTTTGTTTTTTTTAAATATTAATCTATGATCGGTTCAATTAAAGTAGCAAACCAGAATCTGAAGATGACTTGGTTAACGTTGCACAACTCTGCCTTCTGGTATTATTGAGACGTCATTGAAACTTGTCATGTTCTTAGGTATGGTAAAAGATGATAGCCCGAATTCCAAGATTGATTTTAAAAAAACTGTTTATTCACCAATTGACAACAAAGTTCTTTCCTGCAGATATGGTGCCATTGGAGGTTTGGAATAGAGTCCCGTCTAATGATGAAATAAGGAAAATCGTAGATAACATCGGCAAAACGTTCTTCAACCTGTGCCTAGAGCTTGGATTGTCACCCCCGGCCATAGAGCAGTGTGAACTGTCTCATCCTACCGACTTCAGGACAAGAATGTTTGCTCTCCTTCGGTGTTGGATAGACCGATTCCAGAAGAAGGCAACCATAGGCAGGTTGTTGACAGCCATGAAGGTTTGTCAGATGGACTGGCATACAACAGCAACAAACTTGTAACATAACAAGGACAAAAAATGTGAAATTGTGTAACTGACTCATGTGATTCTGGACAAAAACACACCTGGTGATTTTAACTTTCTTATAACACAGCTTTACTGGAATCATGGAAAACACTTTCACAGAAAAATTTATATGAATTTCAGAGTTCTAATATTTGACAGTTAAGACAAGAATATTAAGACGGATCAATAGAGTCGTACCACGTTATATAATTATACAATTTGATTTAAGATTTTACTGGTAAATTGTTGTGACATACTTAATATCCGGGAAACGTTTTTTGTCATTCAGGAGACCACTATATAGTAATTCGTTATAGTGCATATATCTTTTATCTCTAGGGATAAATCTTTCGCGATTTTGCCCTGTGATCAAAATTTCATGGATTAACATTATTTGATAGTCAAAAAACCTAAAGCTGAAACATCATCTTTCTATCAGCAGTGTAGCTAATTGTAAAAGTTAATGTTTTAAAGTTTTTATACCAGCATTAGAAGTCAATTATTAACGAAATGTAGCAACTATGCGATATAACATACTGAAGTATTTCTGACACATTTCTTTCTCTTTAATCGTAATACTTTCCGTGTTATTGATTGAATTACAAAATTAAAAGATTAGAGCACACTTTAAACTACCAATGATAAGTTACATTTATTTATTTATGTTTGTGTTCTTGACAATCACTGTATTGTTCACATGTTACCTTTTGAAATGTAGTCATAACCTATCTGGCCATGTTCAACTTTGGTATACTTCTGAGCAAATATTGTTCTGTCTTTTTACCAGCAACATAAGTTAATGAACACGAAAAGAAAATTTAAACTGAAAGACATTGCCTACATACAATCAGTGAACAGACTGAGTGTAAGTATCATATATGTTACACAGTTAGAACTAATTTAATGCTTGACCATACAGATAAAATGTATGCATTTGGTTTATCAAAGGATTTTAACACAACGTGTTGATTGTCACAATAATACCTATAACAGTACAAACCTATACATACAATAAACTTAATATCTAACCTCCTTACATACTACCCACAAAGGACAGTTCATGATTTTGTCAACATCAGTTTTACAATATTTATTTTTCATTATGTAATAAAGATAGCATACGGTAATATATGTCAATTTATCGTGTTTATCATATATTTGACTTTCCGTAACACACGTGGGTATATGATGAGCAGCGATTGCTAATTCGACTGTCTTTTCTGAAATATTTTGAATCACGTGAACACGCAGAACTCTCCCATTACGTCAAATCAAATGAAGGTAAACACATTTAACAACTATTTACCATTCTATATCTTTTTCCTAGTGTACCATTGATAGAAACTCCATTTCATTCGAATATAATTAAAATACTGTATATATGTTTTTAACTATAAATATTTAGCTTTAAATACGTAAAAAAAAGGTGATGGCATATACTTTTTTCCTGATTTTGGTATTTCTTTGATGTTGAAAATGTGTGCACCAATATGTAGAATTATGTTTATTATTTCTCATGTACATGTATATGTTACAAAGTGTATTTTATTATTGATTTGTGTTTTCATTTTGATTATTAGAAGATTTAATCTGCGATCTCTTAGACTTGGTAACAGCAGGTGTGTATTGTCATAATGTCCTGAAATAAAAGTTAACGTTTTTTGTATAAAACTGTACATCACAGTAAACTTAGTTTTCAACACGTCCGTTGCTAAGTGTTCAATAGACCTCGAGTTGGACACGCCAATTGTATAATGTAAACAATAGTATTTTTGATTAACACGTTTGTTTTATTATAAACTCAACTAATGATAATCACACTGATTGTGCAGTGCATAACGTGCTGCTTGAAAAATGTATTCAATAGATCATCGATAAAGAAATCTGTATTATCAGGAACTGATCACGTGATAAATAGGTCTTTTTTTTATTGAAAACAACAGATCACCTGACCAAAAAAGATGAATATTGAACAACATGCTACAAGCTTTAAAAGTTATATAGTGCACAGCGGACGGCGTGTTACACTAGTTCATTGATATTTAATAGCGACCTACGTGCTGAACACGCCAGGTTTTGATCACAAAGTTAACGCCGGATACCGTGCTTAATATGCACTGGCTTTCTGTCTGGCAAGGCGTTAGCTAAATTTTGTCTGGACCAATTCTTTTTTCCTGAGTTCATTAAATTTATACTGATGAAGATTTAGGATGCTGACTGGTGCAAACTGGAAAAGGAAATGTGCCCTAACATAAGCTGGGATATCGCATTTGCTTTTATTTTGTTATCAGCGGTTTTCCTGAGCATTTCTTCCTTGCACTTTTACCTTAATGCATTAAACTGTTTTCAGAGGCATTTTGGAAAAGTTGCGTGTTGTACTCGTCATGGCCTACTGTACATTTTTGAAACACATTTCTGTTTAAAAATGATTTAGAATATGGACAAATGAAGGCGATTCTTATACAGAAAGTTTCTCAGGGTAACGTCAAAAATACGCTTCTTGTAGTAATAGTCATTTCTGCAGTTAATTAAAGTTCAATACATTTTCCAAATGTTGGTTATCCTACAGACAACGTTCCTGAGTAATATAGAAGATATGTATTTTTCTCGTTGAATGCAAACATTGTGACAATACAGGAATGCTACTGCAGAACTGTTCTTAAAACGAGCATTAATTTTACATTGAGATACTGCCTATTCAAGACGCGGGCTAATATTGCTCTTACCTCTCCTTCGTAGTGCTTTGTTTTTGCAAGTAATTTCTCTTGAACGAGTTAAGTTGTAACCGCGCATATCCTACAGTATGATGGGCTAACATATGTAGGCAGGTCACTGCTGAATGCTCTTGGTCACATTATTGATGTATCACGTTTTTCTTATAATCCACAAAATTTACCCCAGAGCCAAGCAATTTTCATGTAAACACATCCTCGATCAAACTTTAGATTGTCTGTGTTTCTGATGGTACATCAAAGATTTTTATAATGAGTTTGAATTACCAACTCTGGTTTGGTTTTGAGTTACAAACATTGGTTTTGTTGAAATTAAGAACAAAAATTGAATTACGATGTAAGACATTCAAACACGTGTTGGATTAAGATGTATTGTAATCACTTGATGTATTAAGATATAAGACAAGCATTTGTTTGATTGCGATGTCTGAAAAACACTTGTTTGATTAAAATGTATGACAAACTCGTGTTCGATTTGAATTAGATGTATAGCTCGTGTTGGTTTAAGATGTATGACAAGCATTTGTTTGATTGCGATGTATGACAAACACTTTAAAGCTAGATAACAATGTATGAAAACAACATAGACCATACGATACTTGCCTGGCTGCTTTTTATGGCAAAAAAAAGTGTGTTATACAACGTTACCTGACTCCATTTTGTTTTTGAGATACACAAATTAGTTTTGTTAAGATTAAGACAAATAAACTTTAATAAGATTGTATTACAAACATTGTTGGATTAAGACAAATAAACTTGAATAAGAATGTATGACAAATACTTGTTGGATTAAGATGTATGACAAATACTTGTTAGATTAAGATGTATGATAAATGTAAGTTGGATTGTATTGTTTGACAAACATTTGTTGGATTACGATACATGGCAGACACTTAATGTGTTAAGATGTATGACAATTGTTTGTTGAATACCGATACAGGACCAACACGTGCTTGCTTACGATATATCAAAATTATTTTACTTGTATGACCAAATCTATCTTGTATTTGAGATACAATGTTTGTTTGCTTAAGATGTCACATATATAAGTATTTAACCTTCTTTGGATCCCTATGGTCATTTAGTTTGCTGTTTGCTTTACTTAATAAAAATGGAGGTGGTTTTTTTTTGTCTT